TCAAAATTAAGAATAAAGGTTTCAAATTTAAAAAATCAGATATTTATTAAAATTTATTTATGATTTAATTAATTAATTATATATTTAATTAATTAAATATATTTAGGTCACAGATCCATACAATTTGATTACAAATTAACAAATTAGTTTGTCACATTTTATTTTTCGGTCACAAATCAAAATTTTTATATACTACAAATTATTTTATGATCGCAATTCAAAAATTTTATAGGTCACAAATCAAAAAATTTATAAGTCATAATTTACTCGATCACAAACCACAAATTTTATAAGTCGCGACTCAAACTTTTAGGTAAAAAATTATCAATCACATTATTTATTAGTCATAAATTATCAATCACATACTATTCATTGGTAACAAAATATTCAATTTATTGGTCAAAATCTCAAATAATTTGTCACATGATTTATTATCACAATCAACCAAATTACAAACAACCAAGATATTCCGCCCACCACCACTACCTGTACCTCCAAAACCACCACCTTACTGTTGCCACTACCTGCACGTACTAACAATCACCACAACCACCTTCTCTGTAAATCCATCATCACCATCTTACCACAAACACAACATCATCACCATCTTACCACAACCACAAAAAAATAATAATAATAAAATAAAAAATTCCCCAAACTCGTCACCATCAGCTCCACCACCGTACCACTACAACCATCTGCCATCAACACCACACTAAACAAATGAATAGAAAATAGAGGAGATGACAAAGATATCGCACCAAATAGAGAAACACAAATGCAAATGAAGAAAATAGATTGCACTAAAACTGTGTGCAGCGATGCACGCTCAAGGAATGGTTACTGGCTATACTACACGCAGCAAGGGTCACTGTGTGCAGTACAAATAGTAGAGATCGACTCGTAGTGGTGCTACTGTGAGTGATGCCTCACAGCGATGCGAGTTACTATACTCGTTGCGCACATTCACTAGTGAATGAATGGGTGATTGGTGCCAGAGATGGTGGAAGCTGTTGATCGACACTGGAGATTATGGAAGGGGTTGATCGGCATGGAGATATGGAAGAGAGATGAGGGCAGTGTGAATTTAATTTTTAGGGAGAAGGGAGATTTGCCATTTTTAGGGTTTGGGATTTTGGTGGATATGATTTAGGTAGAGAAAGGATAGGATATTGAGAAATTAAATAATAATATTTTTAGTATTAAAAAGAAAAATTTATGACCTGATTTTTGTATAAGTAATTTTTAAACTTGAATTTTGAAATTAGAAATTAAAAAACATGGATGGGTGTAATTTTCACTTATATTTTTTCCTTATTTGTATAATTGTAAATTGAAACTTTCACACTTAGCGCTTGTTTGAGCCCCATTTTCTCTGAACGCATTTTTTTTCGAAACTCATTTTCAATCATACATTCTCCCAATAAAATAATTTTACATATAAACTCAAATCTTTCCTTACTTTTTAACTACACATTAAAAAATAAAAATAAAAATAAATCACTAACTCCAAAAAATGGGGCTATAATGTTTCATGGAGAAGTGACAAGAAAATGAAGTGTTTTAGCCTGTTGTGAACAAGATTGGAGATGATTGTTCGCGAAATATTTCTTTCGATTTAAATTACCGCAAGTGTACAGGTCGTGACAAGTAATAAAGTGGACTTTAGAAGTCCGAGTAGCGTCCCACAGAGAAAAAGTAGTTCAATTTTATTTATTTTAGCCTTAACCGAAACTAATTGATTCAAGATGAATTTTAGAATTAAAAGCCCTAATTTTGGGGGAAATCCCCAAATTGAAAAACCCTAATTTCAAATCAAACCCTAATTACTTAAATTCACTTAACGAATGACTCAATTACGAAATGTTATGAAAATAAATGAAATCTATTGTCAATTTATGAAAATCTATGTAAAACGAATGCACTAGAATCACAAATCCCCAAATAATTACTAATTAAACCCTAATTTCACAATTTTGATAATTCAATAAGAATTTGACAAATCAATGCTCCTAAATCTATTCAATACTCTCTCGAGATGTATTGAACCTATTCTCATAAATCACCAGCCTATATCTCTATGACAAATGCAATTATACAAGAACGCACGTAATCTTTTTGTGAGTAATTAAAGATTTACATAGGGCATAGGGGTATATTTCTATCCCCTATCAAACCCTATGATGAATTATATATGTCGAGTTTAATCCAATTTTCTCAAATTCAGAATTAAACCACCAAGTTCATACAAATTAAGTGCACATTAATTGTGAAAATAAATAAAGCAATATAATCCATTCAAATATCCCATCGAACTATGAATTCAAAATCATGAAATAACAAGTTTAATAATAATTGCATGGTTCATCGATCACCTAGTTGCAGAAATCTAGCCTATCATGATAAAAATAACGAAATTTAACAAGTTTTGAATAAAATACATCACCGGGTTATCAAAACTTGAAGAAATCTTGTAAATCTTCGCATCAATTCTTGTTCTTGCCTTCAAATCCTCTCCAAGATGAATGTTTTTGCCTCCCAAATCGTTCATGCGGCTTCTGGATGTTTATTTGCTATTTAAACCCATCCAAATTAGGTTACTAAAGGAGTTACAATCATATAAGGAAACTGCAAAAATTTGGGAAAAGTTATACCTATGCGACTGCATAGGTATATGAAAAATGGCGTTTTTAATCCCTGGAGGGTCACTCGCGACCGCATAGGTTTTATACTATGCGACCGCATAGTAGAGCGAATTTCTAATTTGAGTCATTTTGATCCTCAAGTTTCATTCCTTCACTCATTGACCTCCTCTCTTGTTTCTAGTTGCTCCAATGTTCCATTATTACTTCCAATTGGTGCTTGGCTTGATCAATTGCTTGATGTGTTCATCGGGTCAACTTTCAAATAATTGCAATTTGGTCCCTGAATTTTCATTTTGCTCCAATTTGGTCCTTTTTCGGCTCTTTTCTCCTGAATTCCGCTATTTCCATAGAATTACCTACATTGCATGAATTTAACAAAGTTAAGTAACAATTCAATCATTTTACTTGTATTTAAGTCATGTTTGTGATGTAAATAAGTATACAAAAACACTTATCAATGATCAAGACAAAAATCATTATAAAGAGCTAGGAACTAGAGGCGAAAAAATGAATGAATTATGAAGAAAATGAAGAAACAAGTATTGACGATCTACCAGAGAACATTGTCCCATCCCGAATTTCCCAAATGCTACCCCTTATCTATTAATTTTAGTTATTAAAAAATTAATAATAACATTTAAAAATAATTAATTGAACGAGACTGTAAACGGAGATATTACCTTGAAAATTTGTGACGAAGCGAGGAAGGTCTTTAATCATTGGTCACATCGCATCATGTCGCGTCCCGTCTCACTTTGATCTATATGATTAATCGTCGCATTTTGATGCACTAGTGCGAGACTACAGGGAAAATTCCATGCATTTGGTCACTCCTACACTAAAATTTAAATGCTAGAGCAACATGTCTCAGGTTAAGGCTGAACAATGTAACTATTAAATCATAAAATTGAATCAAAATCAATTTTCCGATATCATTGAATTGGATTGATGTAAATTCATCAATGTTTTGATTTTGAAACAAATCAAACCGCCTTGAAGTGATTTGATTATGTTTCACTTATTGCAAATCGTTTTTAAAAAATAATTTTGAAATTAAATTAAAATTTATTCAACTAAAATAAAACGAAATAAATCTTAATTAAAACGACACATCCGTATTAAAACAAACCCAATTAAACCTAATAACCAACCTAATTCAACTAACACCCAATTAATTAATTAAACCATACCCAATTATCCATGAATCATTACAATTGAGAATGCAAAAACCTCAAATTGGCTTAAATGCTAAACATATTTATTAGTCGTCCCATCAATTGAGTAAACAATTAAATCTATATTTTAATTCAAACTCATACTATTTATTGTCATTCTATTAATAATTTTCTTGAATTTTGACTCAATTTTCAGGTTAATTTACCCTTTTATTTTTGATAATTATTTACTATATTTTATTGATATTTCACTGTTTGTTTGAATTTGTATTGGGCTCCTTTAAACTTTTAGCTGAGCAATAATTTTGTTTGTATCAATTATGTTAAATTCTTTTCGTTGCGGTTGTCTTTGAAATTTTAAGGTCAAATTAGTGAGATTTTAGACTAATATTTATAATTTGACTTGTTCAATATTTGTTACTTTTTTGTTTGCTAAACCGTAATTTTTGACTAACGTAAATCAAAAAAAGTGATTAATTTGATTTGATTTGAAGAAATTTCAAACCACTATAAGTTGTTTGATTTAAAATTTGTTTCATACCCAGAAATCTACAACATAGCTATTCTAATAAGACTCAAACAAATATAGGATTGGTATCGAGTTTACAGAGACGATATATTAGCCAATAAAGTAATCATCTAAACTGAAACGTATTCACCTCCATCCAAGACATTAAATAATTCCTCTTTAGCGTGTCTAACAAAGTATCTACATTCAGGCAGACAATATTTATATTTTTTCCTTGCTACGTGTGTTTGACATAGTGTTGATCATTTTAGAGGAGATGATTTTTTCCCGACGTTGTCTATATTTGAGAAAATTTTCAAGTAATCAGCACTAACATTGAAAATTCTCTAACAAGGAATTACTAGTTAATCTTATCTAAAAAAAATTTTGCTTCAAAAAAGTATAATCTAATTGTAACTCCTATTGAAATACTACATATAAGGATCATTGTTATAAAAATCTAATATACTTGATCTCCCATTCTCTTCTATTTCTCTCATATTTTCTTAATTTTAGAATATAACCCGCTATAATTTTCAAAATAGAATATGACTTATTTCTTAATATTTTTATTTAAACTTTTAACAGGTCAATATGGCTACCGATTTGTTGATCGGATGCTTTGACCAAATATTTTCAAGTTTTACTACAGTGACAAGGTTAAAAAATAGGAGACATGGTTGGCACACCTGTCGATGCCCCTAAATAGCATTATTGTTTAACTATACCCTAATATCATAAATAACGAGTGTGACACACTATTAATCATTGTAAGACATCCGAAGAAAATTTAGAACCGATATTTTCCGAAAAAACAAGGCATGCTTGAGTTTGTGCTCAATATTTCAGATGATCATAATCATTTAGGGCACCGGTGAGAACAGTTCTAGATGAACTATTAATCTCAGGGCTGACGTTTCAATGTGCAGAGCCATCGTCGGCCAGGATGGGCGGAAATATTGTTTATTCCAATTGAAAAACTCGATATTTTATTGGATTTTGACATCACCTTAAATTACGTACTGGCATTCCAAAACTGTTAACGGTCATCTTCCTCATCATCATCATCAGAATTACCATGCTCACGAAATCGTGGATTTTTCTCCTGTAAACCAAATCAATTAAATTATGAATGATTCGTGATGCAGAAAAGAAAAGGTCCGCCGACAGTGAGTCCTCTTTTTTTTTTTTATATTTTCTTCTCTCTTCATCCTCAACCCGATTTTTCTTTTTTCTTTGAGGTGGGTGGGAACAGAATATAATAAAAACGAAGAAAGGAATAATTGCTGACTAAAACTTACCGGTCTGGAATCAAGATCTGAGGTTCTTCGTGATTCATAGTCTGAGATTCTCTTTGAGAAATATATCTCTGTATCGCGTACGATGGTAATCTTCTTCTTCAATGTCAGGGATTCAGTAATATACTCTGTAAATAGGGAAAATTTATATAGAAATCGAACTTCTCATAGCATATACTCTAAATAATTCACCATACCTCTGCCTTGTCGACGAGAGCCCTCGTAATCAGAATTTCCACCATTTCTACCATCTACAAGGGTAGTAGGTCAGGTAGCAGAACAGATAATAGTTATACAAGGTGAATTGCGTTGAGTAATAGATCAATCATCTCTCATTGCTCAAACTATGCAGCAGTAGACAAATTTGCGGGCAAAGTATTGCAGAACACAAGGAAGGTAATGGTTAGGTACCCAAATTCTTCTTCATTCCCGAAACAGAAATCGATAACTACCAATTCCCAAACCTATATTGTTTTAATATTACTTCCCGAACCCTACACATTCATTACGTAATATCCATCAACTTTAACATTTACTGTGTAGCATTGATTGGAGAGCAAAATTTTGCCAACAAGGAATTCGGTTTACTGACATAAACATAATACATATTCCATTTGTTCATCATGGTTTTCTTGCACATTTGAGTTTGATTTCTCATATATATTCACAATTTAAAAATATTGAGGATGATTGAAAGTGTTGAATGTATATCTTTATTGTGTTTTGACCTTTTTGTTTGGTTCGTGATTGAGAATTGTTTTTTCAAAACAACAATTTATTGGATCAGGATATAATTTATGTAGATACTGAGCCATTGGGTGAGTACGTGGCTGTAAATTTTAGGGGCTCGTGGACTTAATCGAGGTGCGCGTAAATAGTCCGGACACCCATGGTCATTAAAAAAAAAAGAAAAAAAAAAGGATATAGATTATGTAGATACTGAAGTTCTAATACTGCCATTAGAATGGTCTAGTCAACAATTTGATAGATAGTTCATTGGTTTGCATCATTTTGCAAGATCATCAACAACCAGATAGATGGCTCGCATCTAATCTAATGTAACGAAGATGTTTACATGAGGAGTCCTCCATTGATTAATTATACATTAATCTTCTTGTAATCTTATAAAGGATGCTTATGCAAATTTGACAAATATTTAATTAATGCCTAATTTTAAAAAGGAAAAAAAATTGAGGCTATTCCTTTTGTCAACAACAGCCTAAAACTGCCTCTATTTTTATGATTGTCGAAGCAAAAAAAATTAAAAATAAAAATAAAAAAATACCAATTTTTCTGAACCTGGCCCCACATCTAAATGACATTAGAAGGTGAGTTTTTGCATTTTTTAAGGTGTTCATTGCAATTGTTTATGGAGAACCAAGATACTTGTAGCGTACTAAATAGTTAAAAGAATATTGTACAGAAGTATCAAAATTTTGAAATAAATATTACACATTTGACATCTTAGATTAGACAATACTTCAATCTAAAAATGCAAAAACAGCAGCTCATGACTTACCAAAACGGAGCAATCAAGGTCCTTCTGTACGACAGACATCCAATTAACCATTCAGACTGATGGCGCTCTATCAGAATCCAGGAGAACACTTTCAAGTCGAGAACTATTTTTCTTCAAGTACAACCATAGACAAAATAAAAAATAAAAATTAGAATATAGTCAACCCAATTATAACAAAGTACGCCAGTTTCTTTCTAGTCAACTTTATTCCAACAATCGACACTTCCAACCATCTAATAAATTTCAGGACACTAATAAATAATCAATAAAATTCTTGGAGAATACTAAATCCACATAAATCCGTCAACATATACAAGGAAAATAAGTTTTTGAAGGCTAAATTACAGAATCCTATAAGAAAATACCCAAGCATCATGTCTTGTACAGAATTGAATATCCCACTAAAATATATCATTCTAGAACAAAATGGCACCAAGAATTCTGAAAAAGTAGAGTGAAATTGAATGACCATTATTGAATATCTAGTATAAAAATATTGCGTGCTTCATATTTCTATCTTCCATATGACATTGGAGATTAAAATGAACATGGGCTCCAGGAATTTAATATCCATTTTCCTCCAAGCAGAATGAGGAGCCACCAAAACTGAACTTTTTTTTTCTTTTTTTTCATGTCAATTAAAGCAGTATGCACTGTCATTCTTCACGGTAATTTGGCAATTTACTCATTGTGTGATATCAGAATCAACACACTGCAACTTTGCAAATTACTCAGAAAGAAACGGTTTACTCCTGGTGATTCATTTTGTGCAAAAAAATGAATCAGTTTCTAAGATAAACTCAACATCATGTTGAAAACTATGCCGTCTCATGTTCGGCAGTATTCCTTCTCTCCTCGGACCTGTGATGGAACAACTTTGCAATCTTTCGCCTCTCGCAGTCCTGTATTACATGTAAACGGCATTTAGACGATATCACAAAAGAAAACAAGTACTGAAGTGCACAAGAACACTGAAAATGTTTGGCCAACTTTACCATGTAGGTTATGCTCAATTAGATTTAAGATGCAATGGAGGGCTCACCTTGAACATATTAAGATAAAAGGGTTTCTCTGGATTCATCCTTCTCAACTTGTGATATGTATACGCAAAACTTAGCTGGTCACGAGGAGTGAACCGTTCGACCTCGTTAAACCAAAGGCAAGAGAACAGGTTTGACATTGGTGTGTGGGCCCTAACAATAAAAGACCCTTCAGGTACATCTGTTAAAGAAACAAAAATATTATACACGGACAAAGATTATGCTGAGAGAAGATTTCAAACACAATGGAAATGACAAAATCATACTGCTCGGAAGAAGCCTGTTCGGATCTGATGCATTAAACTTTTTCATCCCATCGCCTTGATAGAATGCAAACTGTTCGTCTATAACAGTATGGTTGTACTTGTTAAGCTTCTTATTTTGGGCAACCTCTTCCCACAAACAATGGCGGTCATAGTGATTAGATATAGCATATTCATAACCTTTCCTCCATAGGAAATATTCCAAGATAAGCATCGGATCGAGTTGGAGGCGAAGTTTACTATCCAACCAAATTGAGTACCTGAAATAATTTCCAGGAGCAAATGGATAAAGTAAAACACAAACGGAACATTTAGATAAGAGTAGAATGCAAAATATATTTTTATTATGGCGTAGCTGAAAATCGAGTCAAGAATTTCATGATTGATCTTCTTATATCCATTGCAGAACTCAATACCCCCTCCATGATTAAAAATATTTTGTTTGAAAATCACAACAAAATGGATAATTAATCGCTGTGCACTTTCTTATATTTTCATCTGAAATCCAACAACGGTTGTTAGTTTGGCACAACTCGAAGTATAAATTCATAAATTCCCAGAAATTGAATAATGTAAGTATTTGTGTTGAATTTTATAAGGTTATTCAATCTCACTATTTAATAGCAGACCCAGCACACACAAATGAATTATCAATTATGAAATAAGTTTATTCTTCTTACATAGACTAGAAACTCAAATCTATTATCACCCAAAATTAGAAAATGGTACAGACAACATGAGCCCAAACATGGAACCATTACATAAAACAAAAAGCATTTAACGTACCTGGCTGAAGGAAAAAGACGGTGTGGCAAAAACTTTGGTATCTTCCCAACTCTCCGCATGTCAGTGTAAGGAAGATTCTTCACAACCACAATCTTCCACAGCCCAATAAAGCCCATTCTATCTGGCATATGACCTTCTGAAGAAAGCATGCGTAAAGTAATTTCATCCACAAACATTACAAAACATACATTTTTCCTTGACAGACGAGAGACCTGAATTTATAAAACAACAAAATAGGTTAGATCAGAAGCATTAACCAGCTCATTAGATGCTACAAGTTCAACTTCACAAACTGGACTATGAAACACTGATGCAGATGGGGATATAGTGCTGTATCGTGGTTTGGAATAGGAAAATAAGCCACGTGATTTAGTTGATGAGATGCTAATGGGGATGCCAACCATATAAACAGGCAAAGCTGGTCAGCATAGAAAAAGACAACAATCAGATTTCATTATCCAAGCTTTATTCATTCTAACAAATGGAACACCAGTGATGTGTTAAAAAATTCATAAAAAGCCAAGTGACCTGCATATTAAAGCATGTTTTTCCATTTCTGTTTTCCACTTAAAACAAGGAGGAAAAAAAATGAAGAAGAAGAAGAAACAGATTTATAGAACACTTTTCAATTTTTCAGATTGATTATATCAAACCCCCTAAACTGACATTCTAATCTGTGTTAGTCATTTTCCATATTTCATTTTATTTTGCTCTTTTAATTAACTTAAGGGTAATTATACTTCCACCACAATTTTTATTTTTTGCACCACCTTTTAATTGCACTTAAGGTTTTTAATCTTTGCTCTTTATGACACTTATGCCTTTAACAATTTTTCAATAGTTAACACATTTTTTAATAAAATAACAGTTTTATGTCCAAAAGTCCATTGAAATGACATAAAACAACTTATTTTTCCATCATATTTTTTTAATAATTAAAAAAAGGAGGAAATTATATTTTTTTCCTCATTTCAAAGCATGATAAAAAATTATTTTAATATAAATCATCATTAAGGACAAGAGGTACTAATTAATGGAAGGTTAAAGATAAGAATTCGACGTAAAAAATTTAAAAAATAATTGCTACAATAAGCAAAGATTGGGGAGTTTAACTACAATTAAAATGTGATGTACTAAAATTGTGCTGGCAATATAACCGCCCTTAACTTGATAAAGAACAATAAAGTGGGAAGGGGTAATGTACCGTTTTACCCATTGGTGATCTCAAGCGATCTGAATTCCCAAATATACAAGACATCACAGCAATGTGACAACTACTAATGTATTTTGCATCATCTTCAGCCAAGTCGAATCCTGTACTTGGAGATCCTGTTGGACCTTTCACAAAGCCACAGTTTATTTTCTGATCACGGGCAGTAAAGGATTCTTCCCTTTCTTTGAGACTCTGATGTCCAGCGAATTTGGGTTCCCATCTTTCCTCTTCAATGGGTTTCTCTTCTGTTTCTGTATATTGTAGGGAAAATCTTGCAAATTTTCTACTTTCTAAAGGCTCTACAAGCAGTGAAGATGCGTTTAACATCTTCATCTCACAGGAACCTGGAATTTTGGAGTTGAAACCAATAACAAATTTAGTAAAAGCGAGGAAAATATCTCATCTAGTTATTTCAAACATTTAACATGCTAAGCATCATAAAATTTAATTTTGTTTTGCTTAAATTTCAATATGCTCATGTTAACCATTAACACTAGCCTTTATTTCAATTAATATTTCCCACGCTGCACAGACGTTATAGAATAGGTCATTTTGGTACATTAGTTGATTCAGTCTATGCAATGTCAAGCTACTTGTCAATATAGTAATACAGTTGAAAAATTGTTAACCATTCATTCATTACACCAAGTAGTCAAGTACTCAGTACTGATAAAATACCTATTTCATTTTCCGTCCTTGAAAAGCAACTTATGCTATTTTCTTTGTATTTCTTTAGTTTGTTAGTCTTAAATATATTGAATGTCCTTCAGGAATAAGGAGATTATCAAGGCCCACGAAGATGTTCATGTCGTCCCAAAAAGTATTTGTGTTAAATCTATGTTCAATTATTATTTATCAACAAGGCAGAAGGAATTGATGATGTGATGTACTGCATTATAGTGGACTCTTTTTAAGGTTAAAATGTAATTTCTACATGACACTAATTAGACTTTCTAGGCGTTATAGGACTAAGAGTTGTGCTGTTAAAGGGCAAAATTTAATAAGATGAGAGTAGCAGAATAGAGAATATTAAGATGGATGTAGATGTAAGAGACGCATGTTCATAAGAGTGATGAAATTTACATAGAACAAGTTAGAAGAGGGAGAGGTATAGTGATCAATCAGAAAGAGCAGCTGAAAAGGAATTATTTAGCTGTTATTAGGAATAAGGCTTAGTTTGTTATTATGTGTGTTGATTTTTAATATCAACAAACTTACTTCAGAGTTATGATATGGATAAAAAACTTCATAGAATCGAATAAGAGTCGTGCTATGTCAAATACAGTATCAGCAGGGTACATTATTTTAATTCACGCAGAACCAAAAACTGACCAAAGAAAACAAGTAACCTGTGCATTAACAAAAAATTGGTCAACTTCTTATTCCAAGTAACTTGTGCAATTATCGGAACAAATGATTACCAGAGGTTCTCCGACGTTTTGTCTTCTTTTTGGAACCTGAGCGCCTATCAGGAGTTGTTCTTCGAACAGATTGACCATCAAGAAAACTGACATGCCTGGAATTGACAATGACTTTGGAATGCTGAGAGTTTGGAAGTGATTCCTCGTTGGACAAATCAGTGGAAACTTTAACAGCCTCCTCAATATTTTTTCGGATTTTGTCTCTAGAATTGTGCACGTGAGAAGATTCTCCATCAGTGCTACGGGATTCATGGACACCAGAATGCTCCTCATCATCATGTCCAACATCATCATATTCTTCGATTTGGTCATCCTGTAAATCGATACCATCATCGTATTCATCATCAGCATCAGCAGATCCATGCTTCCTCCAAGCAGCATCGCCTGATTGCTGATTTTTATTGCTATGTACATGTTTTGACTGTTCAGTACCCTTTAAAGAAGCCTCGTATTCAGCTTCATACATTTTTAGTTCGTCACGCCCGGCCTCATTGTATAAACCATTTCTTCTGTTATTTAAAACTTTATGAGAATCAGAAGTAGAAGATTTCTTATCCCTAATTCTCATTGCAGCGTGAACCTTATTTGTGGAATCATCCCAGCCTCGCTCCATTTCCTCTTCACTGTAATCTTCATCTCTTCTTCTGTCGTCCTTGTCCCAATAACGTGAATCCCGACCATGCAAAACAGATCCATGTCCAAACTTGAGCTCTTCGGATTTCTGCGTTCGGGTCACGTTCATGAGAAAATCGGTATCATTTTCTATATCATCGTCTTGAGCCCTATGCCAGTTTGTTTCTGCTGCTTACATGGACAGATTAATTAAATGTCATATTATTAACTATTAACTAACATGGACTAATAAAATTCTAATGCTATGATTGAATGCACAGGTTAGAGCATAGACAATGGAATTTTAAATGTTTCCATTCAATTTGAATTCATTTTTCGCGAACTCCAATCTTGAGGCCTAGTTCCATATTAACAAACACAACGTGAACAAATAAGGAAACATAACAGTCCCAAAATCGATAGACTGTATTCAAATACTAAGCACTTGTAGATGAACATGTCGAACGGAAGCTTTTACTTGAGTTTATATCTAAATTGAAGTTTATAACCACGTATTTTACCAAATTTCCAAACTTCTTTTCAATTCCATGATATGAAATCTTATGCATCGCCAATGCATCATAATATTCAAAATTTGACCTATATAATTGTTATCACAATAATTATTGGAATTAATACTACTACAAGAACATTCTCTTTCGCAGCTGAAATTTCTTTAGTACACAGAGTAAAATAGAAAAAAAAAATGTCTAAGCTCCAACTGCACCACATTTCTGATTCACAAATGCACGGGGACGCTGTAGATCTGCCCCTTCTCTAAATTTGAAATTCATAATCTATACCAATACTTTCTGCTTCTGAATATGTAAATCCTCTCCCTTCAAAAACAACAAACTAGTAATCACAGTAGACACTAAAGGTTTGATCAGTGATGACTATCAATCTAATAATCACACAGTCCAATCACTTACAATTTCTTCAGTCTCCTTTCATTTCCAATAACTTGCATTAATCAATATTATCGACTAAAACTAAATTCACACACAGTGAAAACTCAAATAAAAAAAATAATCAAAATCACAAATTCCACAATTAATCAAAATCACACTCATACAATCCAATAGATCACGATGTGTACCTTTAGTTTGCAAAGCAAAATAGAAAAAAGCCGAAATGGAGAGAATGAAGGCGAGTATCACAATGCAGCATCTGATCGAGATCTTGTAACTGTGCGGCTCTTTCAATCGACGGCGGTGGTGGTACGGGGCCGAGGAAGTGGTTCCGCCACCTCGCACTCCGATCGAGAGGTGATCGCCGCCGTTTCGCATGCCGCCATAGCCGTTGAAGAAACCTCCGGATTGCCTGTACTGAGCCATTCGAGCATTATGAGGTATTGATACAGTGTATGTATGTGTGTGAGACGTGGGTTTAGGATTCGATGGGAATTATGGAGTTTTCGTAGGGTACAATGGGGATTGGAAAGTCCGTTCGCCGGAGAGAATCTGGGGGATAGTGTATTGTAGCGGTGCGATGGGGAGACGAAGGTGGGTTTTGTTTTCTGGATTTTAGATGCCATGTAATTACTGAAACACCCCTGCCTCCGTTGCATTGCCTTACTACGGCGCTGATATTTCATTATAGTTGCATAATGGATTCTTAACTATTAAAAAATAATCTTCGTTAAACCTTCACGTGATTAATAGTTTTTAACTTTATGAAAATTTTGCTTTTCTACATTAGATAATGTGCAAAATTTTGAAATGTTAGTTTTTGTGATAGTTATGTATGATATAACGTTTTTTAAATTGATTGTGTCATTAAAATATTGACTTGCTTCTTTTTAAAGTTGATATAAAAATAAAAAATAAAAAATAAAAACTTACTAATAGAGCAATAAGTAGAGGACCATAAGTGCAATTTTTTCTTACACAGTGAGTCCTCAATGATGCAAACGTCTTTCCTAAGTCATCATGTGAATTGTGAGATCAAGGGCCAGATGACACCACCTCGACCTTGTCCCCATTCACTTAGCATTTTCCTTCAATCTCATGATGCTTAGATTTTCTTCCTAGCAGTGGACAAAAAATTTAAGGTGAAGTGCTTCAACTGATGTGACAATTGAAAATGACCCCAAGATAGACTTGTTTCTCTTTTTCATATATTCCAAATTATAAATCACTTTCCTAATTGAGAGTATAGTAAGCTCTTTTAGTTTTATAATATATCCTTATTTAATGTTTCTTATTATCAACATACATAAACTACTCTTATTTAGATCTTACAAGTATATAAAAAAATGTAAGAAATATATATTCCTAACCATGCAAATTATGTATTCTTAATCTGTGTAAAAATAAAAACAAGCCTACTTTTGTGAAATGGCGAGAATAAGATATTAAAAATAATAATAAAAAATTGAAATTTACAACTTGCTTTCTACTCGTTAAGTCGCTTCACTAACTTTGAAGCACTGCATTTGCGATCCATCTCTTCTCCATTAAAGTGAGTAGTACTAAACTGTAGGAAAATCGTAACATATTTTGACATGAATTTCGGGTCAACAAACTTACTTGAAATGATGAATTTCAATATCTTTATATGGTTGAATCACCTTACTGTCAAATCTTCAAAATTTTTATTTTCTTGTACTCTAATGATCCAAATCCCGATCACAATGGAAGGGGATTATTGTCTACAATCTAAGTGTCATTTCTTGTGAGATTTCATGCCAAAAATGTTATTCTATGGACTTTCCAATTTTGAGGTGAATTTCCATACCAATTTTTTCACCATTTTTTTTCATGTCATGCATTTTCCCCCTCTTTTCTATAACTTCTATATGAAAGTTTCAAGTGGTTGCTTGGGAGATATGGGTTTGAATTCTAAATTCAAATCACCCCCTCCAACCCTTATAAGATCCTACGGGTCGGGTCACCCCACATGGGCGACCTATTATTTGTAATTTCCAACATTTCCCACTCGCACATGATGGGATTGATCCGAACCACAAGTGACAACAAATGTCACACCTTAGATTCTTCCCAAGATCTATCTCACAAATATTCATACGATAAATAAATCGTACGACCAACGAATAATATTAGAGCTCACGGTACTATAAACCTGTTAGGGATATATAGTAGCTCTACTAGAGGAGGAACATCACATCTCGCTATGCCCCAAACTCATTTTCCAACATTAATTCAAGTATTTCCGATCCCTCGAGCATTTGTGGAACATACTCGAACTCCACACCATATCATTGTATTCACAATTGCATTCTATACCCCAAATGGTTAAACACAATTGTCCGGCCGGTGAATACAAACATAAATGTTGGTCAAAATAGTTTTCCTTTCCTACTTGAATCCTTCGATTTTAAATCAGCTGCTTTCCTAGACATGCCCCATCAAACCGAATCAATCATAGCAATTGATAACATCCTAAAGTAGCAACACTAAAATAAAACCTCAAGAAATAGTCAAAAGTCATAAGGGTATATATGAGGTTACATAAACCTCAGGATCTCACACAATGAGGAAGCAGGGATCCATTTACTCATTTACCCAATATTGGTCGTTAAAGCACACGCGGTATGAAACACGTGCTACAATATTTTCTCCCTTTCTTAGGACATATGTCATATTCTTTGTAAACAAATAACATCATATAGATCCTAGTTCAAGTATTCCTCAATACTTAACTTGAGTTCTCCTTATGTTCATTCCTCCAGGCATTCTCAAATCGAGAACTCGATCTAACTACTAAACGGGTTTAATGGATAGCGAAATTCATTTCGATTACTTGTTATAATATCATCTTAATACCTTATCAAAGTGATTGGATCATGTAAACAAAATAATCACTATCAAGGCGACTGGATCATGTACACAACATGATCACTATGTCTCATCTCAGCACATCTTAAAACGTCTGAGGCGATTGCTTGTGTGAGTAAGCCAATCTCAACCAGTTCAACATACTTTATATGTGCATACAAATCATTTATCTTGTAATCCCAATATTAGATTACACATGAACTCAAAATCGTTCATCTATGAGCACACAAAACTCAATCAACAGTTTGTCTGATACACCAACTATCATATTCTACGAAATTCTAGAGATTCCATATTATCAGCAAATATATCTCTAGACATCTTCAGAGTATGATGATTACATATCATCATTTAGTAGATATATCGCAACGACACTTTCTTTACTAATGTCTCTCACATAATTACCATTAGGTGTTTGGTTCTATTTTGATACTTGAGATCTTAACATATAAGATAGTTGCGTAACTATCATGGATCTCATATTCTCAATTAGTATCATTAGATGCTCAATACATCCATGCCAAACAATTTCTTTAGCTGCCATATGCTTCTTGCTACTCTATATAGCAAAAGTGCACTAGTCAAATAAATAATTGTGCTCGACTAACTCTCATTCTTAGTCAACAATTGTATATCTATTCCAATCATAAGTCATTCCTTTGACAACGAAATAGAATTACTGACAGTAGCACCCTTCAGGTATCACAATACATTTTCTAAAGACAATATTGATACCTACTGATTAGATCTATGGCATGATCATTGACAGGAAAAGTATATATCATAGTATACTTCTATCTCCTAACTCTTAATCGTACTAGATATGATTCTCTGGATATTTCTTTGTGCACTTATGAAATCTTTGGACATTTATGAAGACTTATATGGTCACAGTTGCAATTCCACATGAGCATTTATAGTATAAAACTCTTATGATAGAGCAAGAACATACGAAAAATATTCTTAGCACAAATCATACAATTTGCTAAACTCATGTCTTTTGTCTCAAAAAATGACGACAATCATTTCAAATTGATCTCTATACACTCCTTATCATGCTTAGCCAATCCAGTGTCATCAATATCAATATTAGAATTACAACCTACCATCAGACCTTTTATACAAATACAGTAATTTTCGTCCATATGACGAAATTCTTATATGAGATTTAACTCTGTTAAAAACTCAAGTACGACTGTCGAGATGACTGTATTTGGTCATGCGTATAACTGTAAAGTTACCACTATACAAAAAAAAGCTTTAACATGTAATCTAAAAGTCGATTCATGTTAATATCTTTAATCATTTGTCAATTGAGAATAAAAAATACAGTCTCTAGGTCGATTTAGTGTAACTCTAAATTTAAACATACCATCACGACTAGCATTAATGTACAGAAGCAAATCTCATAGTTATGAAAAAATTTATCCAATTCAATACACTCATATTGAGTATAACCTTTTTAAAAAATGAGCTTTATCTATCAGAAACTCACTAGTCTCCCACTCAACTTTCAAGAACCTGAATGTTTTCGGTAAATATAATATCTGCATAAAAATTTCACCATATCTAGATTAGGTTGAAATTATATTCTCCATATATAGACTTCCATCACTTTTTTCGAAATTCCTCTTTTAATTTTCTGAACTAGCTTTTAGATCCAACTTGGAATCAAGAATCATTGAAATTAGACAGTTCTTATATAACTACCACTTGGATAGATAAGTCCAACTTGGAAACAGATTACTCCCACTTGAATTAGAAGTTTGAATCATCTCTTATATATTCAAAACTGATTCATCAATAAATATAATATCAATTTCAACGATATTCTCCAATCTTTTTCTCCCCTATTGGGAAAAATGTCAAATCTCATATCTTATGACTCGATATCCATCCAAAAATTTCACTTAAGTACCTTTTTCACTACATGTATGTCATTGAGACACATCTTATTCGTAACAGACTCATGTTCCCATAATCATTATTGAGAACGTATATAGTCAATTAAGAGTCTATGATAACCAACATTAGATTATTTACGTGTCCAAACTTATATATTATGAAGTTACCAACATTGAGATAGCTCCATTAACTGATATGTTGTATTTAGATAACGCTCTTTTCAAAAGTAATAAGTTGGACTGTATATCTCAAACCTCATCACATTCAGCAATATTTCGTTCCTTCAATCAAATACACCATATAATTATTAGTGATTAAGGAATAATCTATCAAATAAGAATCTCTCTCATTGCATAGATCATTAATATCTCGTGATAGAGAGTCGTGACATCAGATAACTCTCAATGTCTTCACTTCCACAATCTGATTTTCTACTTGACTTCAGAAAAAAATCTAAACCAGTACAATATCTTCAATTTAAGAAAATCAAAGGCATATTTGAAATGCGTGAATCTATCTATAAATGTAATGAAAAGTAAAGTTCCATCTCTATCTCTTTTAATCACGGTCCGTAAAGAAATTTAGATGGATTTATTCTACGGAAATTTAGCTCTTATAGTTTTGAATGGTTCTCTCAACTCAAAACCTCAAATAATTGCACAAATATCTAGAACCATAATAAACATCACCACTGTGAGTACGAATAGAAATACCACGCATAAGTTCAAGTAAAATACCACTCTTAGAAGAACAATAACTGAGATCAAATTTAGTGGAGTCTTTTCTATTATCTTAATATCAAATAGGAAGTCAGTTTCT